GGGCATAGCGGCGAATGCTAGGCTGGCAACAGGTTTGAGGAGTGTTTCACCACACCGATGTCGGGGAAAGGGGGGGGGGTAGAGGGGTTTATCGGGCGCCTGCCGACTGTTTGTTGTTGACCTACGGGCCGCTGCTGCCCCTACAGAATAGCAGTAGAGTGGCTCGCTCGGGACTTTGACGCGACACATGTCGCCGGAAGGCCATCGGGCAGTATTTTGGGTTTGGGTTGCCTACACGCTGGCTGCGTGGGCGCAAGTAAGAGAAAAGGCCACAAGCAGGAATGGTGAGGGGCGTATCCGCGAGCGAGGGGACAACCACTTGGGTTTGTAGCCTACGGGCTACATTTTGTGGCATTTCTCCTGCAATTTCGGTTAATGCTCGGCTTTTTTGCATTATTTTTGGGTATTTCGCAGTAATAGTGGGGTATTGTGCGTCTATTTCGGGTTTATTTCACTATAATTTGCCTTAATTTCTGACCATTTTAGTCGATTTCGCAAGTGATTTCCCCCTCGTCCGCGAGCGGGCCGCGATAGGGCACAGTGAGGTTCCAAAGCTGCATTCTGCACCCGCGCGGGATCGCGACGTAGCCCTGCAAAGGACGCAGTCAACCTCGTCGCGGTGACGCGGGCGCGCACGTTCGAACTTCAATTTTGGACCGCCACCGATACTCCCCTCTTTCAGGGTGCCTCAAGTGGGTGTGGCGTAGGACACCCGCATCATACAACGTACCGTGTAGTGCATCCAAAGCGCTGGGTATAATGTCTAAACAATTCACTGCTGAAAAAACCTGCTGTATATTAACAACAAAAGTGTAGTTAAGTTAGCAAGACGCATGTTTTTCAACAACACATGTTGTAAAAAACACAATATTGAGAAAAATCTTGAAAAAAAGTTTCTGACCGCAAAAACAGTCACTTTTGTTTTGCTCCTGGAAAAAACAGTTGTAATATTACCAGTGTGTTGTTTTTGAACGAAATGTGTTGCGAACAAAACTAACCACTCTTCTTGTACATTTACAGAAAAAAAAACAGCCGAATAGCACAAGTTTCGCGAGGGGTGTGAAATGAAAACAACATTTGTTGTTTATTAACAGCTGTATCGTTTCAAAAATGCTTGTTGGTTTATAACTCTTTAACAGTGAAGAGGGCTTAATAGTTCTTGTTGGGGAAGAAATGACTAGTTTTATTATTTAACCGTTTGGGGTTAACCTTGGGCATGACCCGTGTGCTCCGTTTAGAGCGTTTTTAATTTAACACTAAATGCTGGCGGGGAAATTTCGACATTTCAAAAACTGTGAGGTTGGCCTGACGCCATTGCGGAAGGCGCCGGGGTGGGACGGGGAGAACCGGTTCTTAATTGAACTAT